GAAATCATGTAGATGCTTATGAGTCTATGAGTGCTGGGGAAGCAAGGAAGAAGGAGAAGCAAGATGTGGAAAAGGAGGAGATGAGCAAGGAAGTAAAAATAAATTCCATTTTAATGTTAATTTTAAAAATATTTCAGGCCTTAAATTAGTATCTAGGATGCATTTTGAAAATACAGGGGACATATCAGGACTAGACATATAACCTAGAAATACAGATTTTGTATCCTTCAAAATATAAACAGTAAGTAGCAGTAAAGGTCATGAGATTGACTTAGGACAGTATATAAATACGAAAAGAGAGCTATGTACAGAAAAATCATTGTGCATAATATATCTGCCTTAGTACAAGGTAATAGAGACACAGAGATCAGTAACATATTCTTTTCCTTGAGAAGCTCACACTTGGGTAAAAACAGTCAAGGAAATATTCATTATCTATTGTATGATTAAAGCTATAACAGATCCACATTATGGAATGGGAGCAGAGAGGAAGGGCAACAAACATTCGATAAATGTATTGACTGAACGAATGACTTATATCTGAATATATCACGCAAACAAGCTTACCACTCCTTGATGGTGCCTCTCAAATCTTCTCATGTAGTTGACAAATCCTCCTACAACTACACAGAGAAGACTTCTGCCTCTGCTACTACATGCTCACCTTTATTAAATGCTTACTCTGTGGAAAGTACTGTTCTGCTTCATTTATGTGTTTTTTCTCATTTAAGTCTCCTAACAACACTATCTGATATGGATTATTATTTTCATTAAATCCTCAAAATATATGTATTATTTCCAAACTCAGAACAGAAAACTGGTGTAACAGAGAGATTAACTAACTAGCTATGGTTAACGTAGGTCTGTTATTCTTTCTACCATCTCACAGTATCTCCCTTTGTGCTTTTTGCAGAATAATTAGAAATAGCAATATGATTCTCTCCTTAGTTATCTGCTAGTGAACAGAAAAGTGAGAGTTGATGCCATGGATTTAAATACATAGCTATTATTTTACAGAAAATTAGGAAGGTAGTACCAGCTTTTGTTAGCAGTCCAGCATAAAAACACAACTAAATAATGATGGTTGTAAAATACTTAATTTCTGAAAATTTATTGTAGACTGATAAAATTAGAAAATTGTTTGTTAGAACATCATGGCTTTAAAAACTTACATAAATTACTGATAAGTCTGCAAGAGAAATTTTGAATGGCATTAGCTACATTATATTAAGTGAGTGATGTCATAATTATAGTGAGACATTTATCCTTCTAGATATATGAAAACCCTATTAAAAATTGCCACAAATTATATCATGGTTCCTTATATCATTTAAATATGTTTCTTTATTTTTAAAATGTCCTACCATTAGTATGTATTAAATGGACTTAAAATTAATATATGCCATTTCTGTATACTTTATGGTCACAATTACATAATATATGTTCTCCATTATTTCTTTCTCTCTCTGTCTGTCTCTGTTGTTCTTTCTAGCCTCCACACATAGGCAGAAAAGGCAAACACATCAAAAGTAAATATACAAAAATCATATAGTCTCCAAGGAAGGTGACAGGAATGTTTAATTTCCTTTTATACTTTATACTTCTGAATTCTAATAAGAGCATGAATCACTGATACAATGGTGAAAACTGTTAGAAAAAAAAAATCAGAGATTGTTTTAACAAAATAAAAAGGAAATATAATTAAATATATGAAAATAGGTAATGAAAGTAATCAAAGTACACAGTGCCTTAATAAAAGTCAGCAGTAGGGGCAGAAATTACTATGCTAAGGTTGCCAGAGAAACTGAAAATAGCTTATGAATTGCTATACTCAGAGACGGTATGAAATAGAATATAAGCAATGTCTTTGCAATATTATCTGCTGCTGTGGGTTATATGCACTCCCTGAAAGTTCACGTATTGAAAACTTGACTCCCATTGCAACAGTGTTAAGAGGGTGGGAAATCTGAGTATGGCATTTGAAAGGTGGAGCCTTTATGAGGTGATTAGATTGTGAGGATTGAGCCCTCCTGAATGGATTGATCCATTCCTGGAGTAATGGGCATGGTTCTGATGACTTTAAAAGGAGATTAAGTGAGTAAGTTAACTCTCTTGCTCAGCTTGTTCTCACCATGTGACACACTATAGAGAGTTCTCACCCAGAAGGCCACCACATGTGTCGCCTAGACCTTGGGCATCCCAGCTCCCAAACTGTAAGAAATAAATTTCATTTCTTTATAAATTACCCAGTTTCAGGTATTCTGTTATAAGCACGAGAAACAGACTAATGTACCTGTAATAAATGAAATCAGTTTTAATTGTTCCTTCGGTATCTGGACATAAAGGACATTTTTGGAGGGGCTAAGTCAACTTGATTTAAGTTAAATTATAATCAATAAGAGAAACAGTTTAACTATTCTTTATATTTTTAGAAGATTTACATAGAAATTCATTTTGTGATGTAGATTATTTCTTCATTCGGAGTATTATTTCAATGTCCTTCAACTAAAAATAATGGCTGTAATTTAAGATGATCATAGGATGTGAACTGGCATGGGTTTATTTTCTCAAACCACTGAGAACTTTACGTTTGTTTTTACTTTTGCAACTTTTGCTTTAGCCTCTTGGAATCTTTCACAGGCTTTTTGAAGGGCAAGTATATTGAGAACAAATTTTTCTTCACAGTGCTTTTTATGTGTTTCTTGAGCCCTAAGAGGAAAAAAGAAAATAGAATGAGATACTTTTAAATGACTAAAACCATAGCAATTAATCAGATTGTTCATGATGATTACTAGAGGACTTCAAAACAGACATATATAAATGGGAAAAAGAACTATAGAATTTTGATTTATCATTAAATAGTATTCATATTTGGTTAATACTTATAAGATTTCTATTGGCTAGAACTGGTAATTCTCAGAAATCACAGCTTAGATGCCCAAAGAGTCGTCTAAACTAGCCTATGTCATGATTTGCAGAACTTCTACTTAAACCTCATTAAATCCAAGCTTCTTCTAGGATTCTGTTATTAACTGAATGTATTCCCCCAAAATTCATATGTTAAAGTCCTAACCTGCAGACCTTAGAGTGTGACTGTATTTGGATATAGGGCCTTTAACAGGTAATTAAGGTTAAATGAGGTTATATGATATGTCCTAATCAATAGAATTAGTGTCCTTATAAGAAGAGGAGGAGACCCCAAAGATGTGAGCACACAGAAGAAAGGCCATGTGAGGACGTAGAGACAAGATGGCCATCTGTAAGTCAAAGAGAAAAGTCTCGGGAGAAACCAAACCTGCTCACACTTTCCAGCTTCCAGAACTGTGAGAAAATAAATTTCTCTTGTTTAAGCCACCCAGTTTGTGGTATTTTGTCACATCAGACCTAGCAAATTAATACTCTGCCAAACCTGGGAACTGTCACAGGAGAATTCATTCATTCATCCTCATTCATTCAGAAATTATGTATTGTAATACTTGGCACTATCCTAGATGCTGGAGACATAAAGATAAATATACAAGGGTACTTCAAAACATTCATGCAAAGATTCATATTAATTTTAAATTCTATTTGTCCATGAACATTCCAAAATACTCTTATACATGATATAACTGAGAAGCTTATAGAAAGTTAAGAAAAATAAAGGTATTTGAATATATAGGTGAAATATTATAGTACTGTACTGAAAGCATTACTTAAGAAGACAGAGTGAAACAAAAATTGAGGGAAAAGTTGGTAAATAAAACCTGGATGGAAAGGATACAGAAGATAGAAAAGGCTTCCAAGTTGAAATAACCCTTGAACTGAGTCTTGAAAGATGTGCATTTTCCAGGCAGAAAGTGTGAGGAAGGGCATTTTGTTCAAGCTATTTTATGTAGCATGAACAGCCAAAACAAAAGCAGAGAGGGTAGCACAGTTTGGCATGCTCCAAAAAACTGACATCACTCTAATTGTCTAGGTCATACATTTCTGAAAAGGAAAACAGAAGAGCAGATAAGCTTGGAGAAGCAATCTTAGGCCAGATCACGGCGTACTTTATATGTACGTGTACTCAGATATCTGGACTTGGGGAGTGGAAGAGAGGCTTAAGTCTAGAAAGCCTGCAACTTATTGACTGTGTGATTTTGGACAAGTTATTTAAGTTCTCCCTACCTCATTTTCTTCATCTTTAA